GACGTTATGGGAACAAGAGTGTCCAGTGCCCAATCCCCGGATCTTAGATCATAGAAAACTTGTGTGGTGACATCAAAAATGCTGTTTTCTGAAGTAAACCCCACGAGATATAGAGAAGAACTGTTGGAATGTGGTCCAATCATCCTGGGCTGGAAATACCTGGTCACCCAGGTGCCAGAAGTTGGGTGTGACTCCATGCAACACAGATGTACAGCAGTTTCTCAAGAAAACAGTGGCGACATACAACCCAAAGATTCATTAAGTCATCAAAGGGAAATCAAAATCTTCAAACATTTTTCAGTTTATCTAGTGATTTGTATTTTGAGATTGAAAAGAAGAAATACAAACACTGCTATATTTTTTTGACACCGTCTAATATTCACTTTTCTTCCATTTTTTTAGAAGGAACAACACAAATTTGATATCTTTTTCTTCATGTTTTGATTTGGAATAGAATGTGTCGTGTTCCCAATGCATTTGTGTTTATGGAAACAAGAAACTATTAGAAGGATTTTGAGCTTTATTCACTTTTTTCACACACTGCTATTATTTTTGAACACAACTGTATGTTTATTGAAAATTTTTGTTTGGGCTGAAGTGCTGCTCTGACTTAAAAAAGAAACTCAAAGCAAATGGTAGAGCAGTAGCTGACGCATAGCTGTGGTTTGGAAAGCATTGGCAGCCGCTGACACTACAGTTCATGGCCCCCTGTTATATCTAGTAACCAAATGTTACTAAACAACATATTGTACTAATAAAACACAGAATACACAACTCCCTTTCTGTATGACATAAAACATGAAGTCAATCAGGCCGCTACAATAAGGAGGATATAGATACTCAACAAACGGATCAATAACACTCTAGCAGGAAGGTTTAGGTTAACAAGGATAACATCAGTTTAGAGAAAAAAATCATCACTTTATTTTACGTTATTTAGTTCCGGATGGGTCAAAGTACATGTAGTACTTTATCCCATCTACCTAGGTGCGCTAAAATACTAACTGTGATGTTGGATATGGTGCCCCCACTCTTAGTGCACAGCTAGCAAAGAGATGGCGGCTTTAAAGTGTTACTAAACCAGGACCCTGCATTCACTATATCTGGTCTCCCTGGACCCTGCATTCACTATATCTGGTCTCCCCGGACCCTGTATTTACTATATCTGGTCTCCCGGACCCTGCATTCACTATATCTGGTCTCCCCGGACCCTGCATTCACTATATCTGGTCTCCCTGGACCCTGCATTCACTATATCCGCTCTCCCGGACCCTGCATTCAGTATATCTGGTCTCCTCAGACCCTGCATTCACTATATCTGGTCTCCCCGGATCCTTCATTCACTATACCTGGTCTCCCCAGACCCTGTATTAACTATATCTGGTCTCCCTGGACCCTGCATTCACTCTATCTGGTCTCCCCGGACCCTGTATTTACTATATCTGGTCTTTCAGGACCCAGCATTCACTCTATCTGGTCTCCCCGGACCCTGCATTCACTCTATGTGGTCTCCTTGGACCCTGCATTCACTATATCGGTCTCCCCGGACCCTGCATTCACTCTATCTGGTCTCCCCCAGACCCTGTATTTACTATATCTGGTCTCCCCGGACCCTGCATTCACTATATCTGCTCTCCCCGGACCCTGCATTCACTATATCTGGTCTCCCCGGACCCTGCATTCACTATATCCGGTCTCCCCGGACCCTGCATTCACTATATCTGGTCTCCCCGGACCCTGCATTCACACTATCTGGTTTCCCCGGACCCTGCATTTACTCTATCTGGTCTCCCCAGACCCTGTATTTACTATATCTGGTCTCCCCGGACCCTGCATTCACTATATCCGGTCTCCCCGGACCCTGCATTCACTATATCTGGTCTCCCCGGACCCTGCATTCACTCTATCTGGTCTCCCCGGACCCTGCATTCACTATTTCTGGTCTCCCCAGACCCTGCATTCACTATATCTGGTCTCCCCGGACCCTGCATTCACTCTATCTGGTCTCCCCAGACCCTGTATTTACTATATCTGGTCTCCCCGGACCCTGCGTTCACTATATCCGCTCTCCCCAGACCCTGTATTTACTATATCTGGTCTCCCCGGACCCTGCACTCACTATATCTGGTCTCCCCGGACCCTGCATTCACTATACCTGGTCTCCCTGGACCCTGCATTCACTATACTTGGTCTCCCACAGTACACACAACATGGAAATGCAATTATTTTAGTAAATATAAACTGCTAAATACCTTTTCTCAGAAGTTAGAGCAGTCTTGTGACTTCTATCAGTGTCCGGCAGAGCACTGGTTAAAGCTTGTAGGAAGAGTTTGCATTCTCCCCTGATTGTCCTGTGAGGCTGCAGGACCCCTTACTCTCTGTCTGGACAGAGCTGATTGGCCCTGTGCCGATTATGTGCACTCTCCCAAGAAAAAAAACAAACTTTCTAGCAATACACACTAAACTGTGTATGTGCAGCTTTCCCCCAAGGCTCTGTTCTATCAGCAGATGGATTGGGGACAGTACAAAAAGGGGAGAATCAGAGAAAATAGAATCAAAGATCCTTTTTTCACAATGCAGAGAATTAACTCCTTAGGTTTCATAGTTAATATAACAAGCATGATTTACTGCATATACAGACTGATTTTACTGTTGGGGGTTTAGTAACATTTTAATAGCAAGAAAAGGGTCCTTGGTTGAGATGTATCAGCTTCCCATCTTTCTGCATTCCCTTGCTAGTGCTTGCCTCATGCAAGTGCTAGGAGCTGGGAACTAGGAACATGCGCTAAAAAGCAAAACAGCCATTTCATTGCCACTGTGGAGTTACAGTCAGGTCCATAAATATTGGGACATCGACACAATTCTAACATTTTTGGCTCTATACACCACCACAATGGATTTGAAATGAAACAAACAAGATGTGCTTTAACTGCAGATTGTCAGCTTTAATTTGAGAGTATTTACATCAAAATCAGATGAACGGTGTAGGAATTACAACAGTTTGCATATGTGCCTCCCACTTGGTAAGGGACCAAAAGTAATGGGACAATTGGCTTCTCAGCTGTTCTATGGCCAGGTGTGTGTTATTCCCCTCATTATCCCAATTACAATGAGCAGATAAAAGGTCCAGAGTTCATTTCAAGTGTGCTATTTGCATTTGGAATCTGTTGCTGTCAACTCTCAAGATGAGATCCAAAGAGCTGTCACTATCAGTGAAGCAAGCCATCATTAGGCTGAAAAAAAAACAAAACAAAACCCATCAGAGAGATAGCAAAAAACATTAGGTGTGGCCAAAACAACTGTTTGGAACATTCCTAAAAAGAAGGAACGCACCGTTGAGCTCAGCAACACCAAAAGACCCGGAAGACCATGGAAAACAACTGTGGTGGATGACCGAAGATTTCTTTCCCTGGTGAAGAAAAACACCCTTCACAACAGTTGGCCAGATCAAGAACACTCTCCAGGAGGTAGGTGTATGTGTGTCAAAGTCACCAATCAAGAGAAGACTTCACCAGAGTGAATACAGAGGGTTCACCACAAGATATAAACCATTGGTGAGCCTCAAAAACAGGAAGGCCAGATTAGAGTTTGCCAAACGACATCTAAAAAAGCCTTCACAGTTCTGGAACAACATCCTATGGACAGATGAGACCAAGATCAACTTGTACCAGAGTGATGGGAAGAGAAGAGTATGGAGAAGGAAAGGAACTGCTCATGATCCTAAGCATACCACCTCATCAGTGAAGCATGGTGGTGGTAGTGTCATGGCGTGGGCATGTATGGCTGCCAGTGGAACTGGTTCTCTTGTATTTATTGATGATGTGACTGCTGACAAAAGCAGCAGGATGAATTCTGAAGTGTTTCAGGCAATATTATCTGCTCATATTCAGCCAAATGCTTCAGAACTCATTGGACGCCGCTTCACAGTGCAGATGGACAATGACCCAAAGCATACTGCAAAAGCAACGAAAAAGTTTTTTAAGGGAAAGAAGTGGAATGTTATGCAATGGCCAAGTCAATCACCTGACCTGAATCTGATTGAGCATGCATTTCACTTGCTGAAGACAAAACTGAAGGGGAAAATGCCCCAAGAACAAGCAGGAACTGAAGACAGTTGCAGTAGAGGCCTGGCAGAGCATCACCAGGGATGAAACCCAGCATCTGGTGATGTCTATGCCTTCCAGACTTCAGGCTGTTATTGACTGCAAAGGATTTGCAACCAAGTATTAAAAAGTGACAGTTTGATTTATGATTATTATTCTGTCCCATTACTTTTGGTCCTTTAACAAGTGGGAGGCACATATGCAAACTGTTGTAATTCCTACACTGTTCACCTGATTTGGGGTGTAAATACCTTCAAATTAAAGCTGACAGTCTGCAGTTAAAGCACATCTTGCTCGTTTCATTTCAAATCCATTGTGGTGGTGTATAGAGCCAAAAATGTTAGAATTGTGTCGATGTCCCAATATTTATGGACCTGACTGTAGACAGCCATGCATCAATGGGGTGTGCCCTGTTCAAAATTGCAACTTGTGTTACAGTGGTCCTAGGGTTAATGGGACATGTTCCCATTTGGAACTCAACAATGTAAAAAAAATGACTATACTTCTTTAAAGGAACCCATCACTTTGCCAGTTTAGGGCAAAGTGACAAAATCTCCTGAAAGCCCACTGCCAACTTATACACACCCACTTATACCGAATTAACTTGCTCTTTCCTGCTGCTCTGTTGCTCCATCCGAGCCCTCAAGACATACAAGCACTTCTGGGTATGGGGAACATGTGACTTCCTCCAAGCATGCCTAAGCAGCCAATCCCCAGGCTTGAACACTGTCATGTGAGTGAGGTAAAAACATCAACAACCCTGTGTAAGCTCCAACACCATCCATACAGTTTTGGAGTCCCAGCATACTGATGAACAAATAGACTGGCTGAGTAGTACAGTAAAGGTGAATATATGTGAGTCAAGAGTTTGTTTTCAGGAGGTAGCGTCTCCTTAACCACTTCCAGTCCAGACACTTTCACCCCCTTCCTGTCCAGGCCAATTTTCAGCTTTCAGCGCTATCACACTTTGAATGACAATTGCGCAGTCATGCAACACTGTATACATATGAATTTTTTAGATTTTTTTGAGACAGATAAAACTTTATTTTGGTGGTATTTATTCACCACTGGGATTTTTATTAAAAAAGTCCAAACATTTTGAAAAAAAAAAGTGTTTTTCTTATAAAATTTTGCAAATAAATAATCTTTCGTGATAAATCTTGGCCAAAATGTATTCATCTATCTTTTTAGTAAAAAAAAAAATAACCCAAATTAGATTATAACCAAAAAATATAAATAAAAAAAATTATTTTACATTTTTATTTTAATTTTTTTATATTATTATTTATGTTTTTTTAACATACTGTCACCCTAGCAGTACAGTGTCACCATGGTGACTCTGTGCTACTTGTGGATGGTGATGAAGATTTTTTTTTTTCTTTTTTTACACTGATTGCTTTTATACCCATAAAGGCTGTAAAAGCAATCATTTCTCCTTCTCTCTGGCTGCATTCTAGCAGCGATTGAGAAATACTGTGAGAGCTGTGATTGGTCACAGCTTGTCACATGGTACACAAGGCTGTTGTGAATAGCCTTGTACCATGTGACCTCTGTGATCATTCACAGATTTCACAAGTAGTAATGGGTAATGTATTGATGTAGTGCCAAGGGACTAGGTCAGGGAGTTCAGGGAGGCAGAACATGGTGAACCAATGGAGAAGAAGAAATATGGTGGCCAATATTATAGTATCGTGAACAATTCTATTTATTCGTTCAGGCCTCCATGTGCCAAACTGTAGAGTCTAGAGTGTAGGTCCAAAAAGTCTCCTTTTAGCATAGACGCTTAAAACGCTCTGCTTGGGTGGGACCCTTGGGACTGGTTTCAATGACCCACACTCTCAGGCTAGCTGAAGACTGGGAATGAAATTCAGAGAAGTGTTTGGGGATGCTCAATTTGTTTTTCACATCTTCCATTGAGCGCATGTGTTCTCCAAATCTTTGGCGCAATGTTCTAATGGTGCTGCCGACATAGAAAAGTCCACAAGGACAGGATAGGCAGTAAATCAGAAACTCTGAAGAGCAGTTATAAATGTCTCTTCCCTCGTCTCAGATTCCTCTTTTACCCCCAGGATTATCCTTCTCATTCTGTCTAAAAATAACAGACCTTTGTGTCTGAGACTGGACATCAAGCAACACCCACAAATGGCACACTTCCCAATTGCACTATTCTGCATTACATATTGTGAATTTGAGTTAGATCAGGCATATGGTTTTCTATAATTTGGCAGGACAATGAAAAGACAGAGACCTCCTCATTATGCTGCAAGATCCCGGAGTTCATGACAAAGCAGTGAGGAAGATTTAGTAACTTAGGAATTGGGTGGAGTAGAACACAAAGGCACAAAGAGAAATGCACATGGAATGAACTACTTCTAAAAAAATGGTTTGTTAAACGGAACAACCTACAGATGACTTGACCAGATCTGAACCAAGCCAAGCCTTCACATTAAACATTGCACTCAATGAAAAAAAAAACATGGAATTTTGCCAGAAATGCATCAGGCATTCATTGTGGATAGAGGAAGCGATTTTACTTAAGACAGCTGTGACATCAAAGGGATTTGTTTCAACATTGTGGGGAAGGGTTCCCCCTCCAGTAAAATTTGGAAAGTTCAGCCAAGTCAGTACAATGAGCTGTAGCACAACCTTTTTTTTTTTGTATTGATGCTTAGAAAAAAAGGACCACTTATGGTTCATAAGCTAGTAGAAATTTGGCAAGCAGGTGTGACTTTAATTTGGTCCTCAGCTTCATGCGTCACCATTTCTTCTGACACAAGTTCATTGGGAATTCATTATCTAGCAATTTACAGGCCAGCTAAGGAGAAACCAACAACTAGTTTTTTAGAAATCAAGAAGAAGGAAGAGACTTGTAAAAGTTAGGGCCATGTCATATTTGCGAACTGTCCTGGATTTGCCAGGAAAAATGTTGTCTTCTATCTCGATGATGTAGCATTCAGGGTTGTGTCCCGAGATCACAGCATCACCCTTTTTTGAGCTAATGAGCATGCATATTAACTAAAAAAAGGTATTAGCTGATTGGATCGCAAACCATGATTGGGCAGTTCCCACCTAAGTAGGGTGAGACTGCCCAGTAAGCTAGTGGGATCTGGGTGGGACTGCCTGGAAGTTGGTCTATGTAGTTTTGACCATGGACCAGGGTGATGATGTTTAGGGTTGTGTCCCAAGATCACAACTAAACCCTTATTTAAGTTACTAAGCCTTCAAAAAAAGATATTAGCTGAGGGGATTGTAGCCGTGATTAGGCAGTTCCCACATAATTATGGTGGGACTGTCCAGAAGGTGAGAGTGGTCCTGGTGGGACTGCTGGAAGATGAGCATGTGAAGTGTTGGCCATAGATTGGGGGTGACAGTGTCCCAGGACTGGGATGAAGATGTTGGTAAGTATGTCATTTCAGATTATTATTATTATTATTATACAGTATTTATAAAGCGACAATAGTTCGCTCAGCGTTGTACATTACAAAGGGGGACAGAACATGTGACAGAACAACAACAATACAATGCAAAACATGAGGGGATCGAGGGCCCTGCTCTTTCGAGCTTACAATCTAGGAGGGAGGGGATGGTGGCACAGGAGGAGATAGCTGTGGGGGATGGGGTGGTAGGAAGAGTGGAGGAGGTTGGCAAGTTAGCAGGAGGTGGGGTAGGCTACCCTGAAGAGATGGGTTTTCAGGGTGCGCCTAAAGAAGAGGAGAGTAGGTGATAATCTGATGAGTTGGGGCAGGGAGTTCCAGAGGATGGGTGACACCCTGGAGAAGTCCTGGAGGCGGGCATGGGAGGAGGAGACCAGGGAACTAGAGAGAAGGAGGTCTTGTGAGGAGCGGAGTGTGCGTGTTGGGCGGTACTTGGATATTAGGTCAGTGATGTAGTTCGGGGCAGTATGGTGGACAGCTTTGTACGTCAGTGTTAGGATTTTGAATTTGATCCGTTGCACAATCGGAAGCCAGTGGGGGGATTGGCAGAGGGGGGGTGGCGGAAACGGAGCGGTTGGAAAGGTGAATGAGTCTGGCAGCCGTATTCAGGATCGACTGAAGCGGGGATAGCCAGCAGCGAGGCAGGCCAGTGAGGAGGGAGTTGCAGTAGTCGAGTCGTGATATGATGAGGGAGTGGATGAGCTGTTTAGTGGTTTCTGGGGTTAGGAACGTGCGTATTTTGGCGATGTTGCGGAGGTGGAGTCTGCACGAGTTTGTTAAAGATTGGACTTGGGGCTGGAAGCATAGGTTGGAGTCCAGAATGACACCAAGCACTCTGGCCTGCGGGGCAGGTTTGATAAGCGTTTCTGTAATTGGCGACAACTCACCATCACTTAGGTCTCATTTACACCTCTGCGTCACGTGAACTAGTGGTTTCTTGCGTGTTTTCTCACGACAAGTGTAGGGCAGCCCAATCATTTGAATAGAGGGTCCAACATGCTAAAAATGCGTCAAAGAAGCTCCTGTACCATTTTGGGCGTTGATTGTTGCATTTTTTTTACCACATGTTTTGGTACTTTTTTACTGTATGCTTTGCAGCTCGTGAAAATATGTGTCAGCTGGCCGCATTTGGGGTGACAATGACAATTAATGGCACCACAAGCATGATGCACAATTTTCGTGCATTAACTAAATGCACATGAATGGAGCATTAGAGACCAGTTAACTTTTATGATGACCTGGTCTCATATGGTGGTTGGATTACCATTGTTGCTCCCTCGCTAGTGATCTGGATTCTCCAGCATTTCATGTCTTTTAGCAGAAGTGGTGACTGCACCTCGTTGACACATTGCCAGTAGCAGCATCCCCAGTTTGAAATGTGACTATGGCATATGGCCATATGAAATGTCAACCTTGAAAAAAAAACACACACACACTATACTGCCAAAAGTATTGGGATGCCCTCCAAATCATTGGATTCAGGTGTTCCAATCACCTCTATGACCACAGGTGTATAAAATCAAACACCTAGGCATGCAGACTGCTTCTACAAACATTTTTGAAAGACTGAGCTCTCAGGAGCTCAGTGAATTCAAGCGTGGTCCCGTGATAGGTTGCTACCTGTGCAATATGTCTATCCGTGACATTTCCTGGCTACTAAATATTCCACGGCCAGCTGATAGTGGGATTATAACAAAGTGGAAGCAACTGGGAACACCAGCAACCCAGCCACAAGTGGTAGGCCACATAAAATGACAGAGTGGGGTGTATTTTTCTCTTGGCATGCATCGCAGATTAGAGAGTGTGCTGTGCGCGTGCCAGTGTGACTGCTGTATCGCTGCTTCCTAGAAAGTCAGCTGAATTGTATTTGTAGATCTGATGAGAATGCAGAAAGGGGAAGCATTACAAATGATGGAGTGGAAAAAAAGACAGATATAAAGGAAACTGGATAAAGATGTCTATTTGTTGGAAAAACCAAAGCTCAAGAGGGTAGTAAGGCAACCAATGAACAATACTGCCATCCCACCCATAATTGCCCATGTCCAAAAGTCTATCAGAGACATAACAGAAGGCTTAGCAAAACGCTCCTAAATGGATTTTCCTAGTATATTAGCTAAAGGATTGTGATCCGGAGCAATAAAAAGAGTGGTGTGCCTCCATCCCCCAAGCCATATGCCATAAATGTAAGTACACAATTCCTGGGACTTTATTTGAGGCACATCGTATACAAATAAATAACATAATAGATACACATGACTACAATTTTATTCCATATAACTGATAATATATTTTTATATATATATGTACATACACTATATTGCTAAAAGTATTGGCTCTGCCTTCCAAATCATTGGATTCAGGTGTTCCAATCACCTCCATGGCCACAGGTGTATAAAATCATCACCTAGGCATGAAGACGGCTTCTACAAACATTTGTGAAAGAATGGGTCGCTCTCAGGAGCTCAGTGACTCCAAGCGTGGTCCCGTGATAGGTTGTCACCTGTGCAATAAGTCCATCTGTGACATTTCCTGGCTACTAAATATTCCACAGTCAACTGTTAGTGGGATTATAACAAAGTGGAAGCAACTGGGAACAACAGCAACTCAGCCACCAAGTGTTAGGCCACGTAACATGACAGAGCGGGGTCAGCGTATGCTGAAGCACACAGTGCGCAGAAGTCGGCAACTGTCTGCAGAGTCAATAGCTAAAGACCTCCAAACTTCATGTGGCCTTCAGATTAGCACAACAACATTGCGTAGAGAGCTTCATGGAATGGGTTTCCATGGCCGAGCAGCTGCATCCAAGCCTTACATCACCAAGTGCAATGCAAATCATCGGATGCAGTGGTGTAAAGCACGCCACCACTGGATCTAGAGCAGTGGCTTACCTGTAGGTAAAAAGCCAGAAACAAGTTTACTGTCACTTAACACCGAATGGCCATATATACTGTATGCGCCCATAGCACAGTAACCAAAATGACACATAAAGCTCCCGATGCATACTTGTGATAGGGAGCTTCAGAAACACATGACTGCTGTGACAGCCAATCAAATGATCTGAATGCCTGCCTCTGCCTCCCATCATATAAACCCTCTTAAAGGGCCAGGAGGGGAGGGGACTGAACGGGATGTGTCGGTGGGAAGGGGTTAAAAAGGGCCCTCCAGTATTATTAAAAGTCTGTTTAAATACATTTCTGAAATGTCATAATATATAGAGACAATATAATTTTGACCTCATTGATCATTAGAAGCAGGGGCATCAATCTGCTGCAGGCAGGAGGAAGCATTTCCTCAGTCCCCTCCTCTCCAGTGATCAGACTGCAACATTGTAACTTTGTATCACAAGGCAGCAACGGGGGTGTTCTGTTAGTGGATCCTGCTCAGGTGCTCACAACACTGTAGTTAGTAGGAGACATTTTATTAGATGCTCCTAGCTGCCATTATACATGTGTCTGCCTTAGAACTACAACCAAAGAGAGGCAATAACACAGTTGTACCATTATCTAAGTAGTGAGACCCCTAGAGGCCATACACGGCATATAACATATTGCTACATCCTTTCTCTTTTAAATAAAAGAACAATGAAATATAACAAACACAAAATGGTGAAGTAGAACATAGCTATAATTAAATATAGTCCTTGAGGTGAGCCGGCTTTCTGATTGTTCTGCCAGCTCCGTAACATATGAGGTTTCTTCACAGAAATCTTGGTGTTCTTCTGATTCTGGCAGTCTATTTTCTGGGACTGTCTCTCTCTGCCTAGAGACCTCCCTATGCTCCTCAGCAGTCCCTGTTTCTTTGTTGCTGGTATTCATAGTCTCATCGCTTTGAGTGTCCATATACTGTTCCCAGGGCCCTGTATCATCTCCTTCTTGTGTTTTTCTCAGATGTCTCCGATTCCTCCTCCATCTTCTTCCTTCCTCTGTTATAATTTCATAGGACCGTGGTCCCAATTTCTGTACAACCTTCGCTTTTTTCCAGTGTTTGTCATATTTGCCTATTGGCTGAATCCGTACATTTTCATTGCTCTGGAGAACAGGCAGATCTTTTGCAGATTTATTATAATAGAAAAGCTTGCCTATCTTGATTCTTCGTTAGTTTGGCTTTAACATTGCCCACAAGCTTTGGCTTTAGTAGTTGACCTGCAGTTGGTAGGAGAGTCCTTGTACGTCTACTCATAAGCCGCTGTGCTGGACTGGTGTCTAGGCCTTGTGTGGTGTGTGTTTCTGTGGTCCAGTATAGACAGGTATATCTCTGTACCTTGACTAAAGATAGTTTTTTTGGAGGTTACAAAATAAATTACTGTATCACCCAATATATGGCTTCCATTCAGTAGCCCAAAGAGGCATACAAAAAATTAGGGTTTGTGAAAAGGAATTCACAGAAAGCGGCTACATAATGAACAGAATGTGATACTCAGAAAAATTTCCAAAAATTATGCTTTATTACATATAAATATTTGACATATGGGCAATCGCCCTGGTTTACCATCACCTCAGTATGAGACAATACACACAGACCTAAAACCATATAAAATAACACCAAGACCGGTCTGGATAGATGTGCTGCAAAGACAATGACCACTGAAGTCTAAAGTCTTTGCAGCACTGGCACATAGGTTTAACACTTCCCAAAGGAGGTGTACACAAAAATTATACCATAGGTATATAGTGTCACATGTAATAAATATAAAGACATGTGTCAAAACCATATAGGTTCTATCCCATAGAGGGGAATTCCCAAAAATTATACCAAAGGTATGAAATATCACATGTATACAATGCAGCGAGCACAGTGTGCGTCAAAAGAGAGGCATAACCATAAGCCTATGTTAGGCAGCAAAAAGGATATCACAAATGAGATGCAGTACAGTCCCATGCCGGCACATGTGGTTGGGGCCCATTCATCTGTAATAGAAGTGACTTGATTCTTAGGACTTTTAGATATAAATAACGCCCCAGTTGTTGCCTGGATGGAGAAACAGATGCAAGTAGCAGAACACTGCTTTCAAGTGATTTCTTCACCACAGCATGTGGACTACACACCACTTTTTGTTTGAAAAACAAGATAAGGCCCAGCGGCTCGTCTCCGCCCGTTGAAATATATGTGGCATGCCTTTGTTTCCTATATAAAGCACCATAATGTCCCATCCTGTAGTAAGACCAACAATATGAGGGAAGTCACTGTAAGAGCTTTCACTCGATAATAGACGTTTATGCCATATAGGTCACAAGGGACCTTTAATCTAATGTCCTGTAACAGTCCACTCACCCACCTGTGCCAATGGGTAGTAAGAACGAAAAGGATATCCTTCATAAGTACTGCCCTTCAAAAGGTACTGCTGTATGGAACCAAGGAACCACCGCTAACATCAGCCGACATTACCGCGGGTTCCGAACCTCTCCATGGCGCCTGTGCCGCCTAAGTATGCCTCATGGCATGTGAAGATCGCTACCTCCTTGTAGGTCAGCGTGCGTTCCACTAGTGCGCATGACCGGAAGTGACGTATCTGACGTATGACGTCAACGCGTTTCGCCGATGGGCGTATCTCACTCAGCTTCATCAGGACCAATGGGATTCCTGCATTTCAACCTTATATTTATAGTGGATTTAAGACCCACCCACATATGTAAAAAATTACATTGCAGTTATCCCCCAATGGAAGAAAAAGGGGCTAAATACTTAGCACACAACCGCTGGTCATAGTTAAATTTAAAAAGACAGGCGACTGGAAATATCAAAGGGAGGAAAGATTTGACAATTACAGCAATGCACACAAAAGTAAAAAGCAAAAATTTTATTCAATTGAAAATTACCACACACTTTCACCAGGAGATGGCAGTGTTATTGAAAGGATCTCCAAACCTATTAATTCTAGGTCAAAAATACACAAGGACACAGTAAAAAATTACCGCAAAACCACCACAAGATGGCGATGTTAATTAACAAATCCCTCTATAGGTTATTTTGCCCAGGGTTCCTAAATTTCAAATTAACCATTTTAAGTGTACATTTATTCTCAATAGGAGAGGAAAATAGTTCAAAGATTTAGTCCCATTCTACACTTCTAGACCTAATATATTCAATGTGTATACCATCAGGTTATTAGATTTATCTTCCCCAAAGAAGGTTTACCTTAATTTATTTTTAGTTAACATATTGTACTCAATAATTCAATTAACGCATTAACCAGCCATGACAGGATGTGAGGAATTACCACAGATTGACCAACATATGGCAATATAAGAACATATATCCATACAGATCTATTTATTTTCAAAAATACTTGGAGATCACATTCCACATTTAACCCCTTTGGGTACAATGTATCAAGTTTATATATCCAATATTTCTCCTTTTTTAGCAGTTTCTTATCAAAGTTCACCTCTCCTTTGAGGGAAATTGCAATGCATAGAATACCTTTCACTTTTGTACCATCCAATTTACCTCCATGATATTTAGACAGTGTTGGGCAAGATTACTTTCAGGGTCATTAGATCTTATATCTCTGAAATGTTCACCTATATTTACCTTGAGGTGTCTTTTGGTCTTACCAATATACATCTTTTTTTACAGGGACAAGTCAAAATGTATAATACTCTCACTTTATTATGTAGAACCAATTTTATAAGGCTTTGAATTTTTATAATGAGTTGCTATTCTTGAGTCAAAAAAAGAGTCTGTACGATCCACAATTTTTTAAGATTTGGCATTTTCCACATTTAAACATCCTTTAGTACTTGATTTTAAACTATGTTTTGTCTGTTTTTTAAACGGTTGATAGTCAGATATGAATAAGGAGGTCACCAAGATTTGGTGCTCTATTCTTGCTACCATTTGGGGGCGCTCACCTACAATTTTATTCAATTTGGGGACATTGAGTTAAAATCTTTTCCAATTTTTTTTCTAATATTTGTTTTACAGCTTGCCATTGGGCTCCAAATTGAGTTATCTTCTAACAGGTTGCTCACTATTAATTTGACCCTTCTCCTTCCTTTTTAGGAGATAATAAATCCTTACGGTCATTTTGATATGCCCTTCTCCGAGCTTTTCTGATTTGAGAGTGAGAGTATCCCCATGTTCCCTAAATCTTCTTTAAAAGATCCTGTGCTTCCATCCTAAAGTCATGAATATTCGAACAATTTCTCCGACATCTTTCAGAAATTGTTCCCACTGGAATTTTCTGAAATCAGTGAACGGTGGGTGATAGCTTTCTGGCCTCTAGTAGAGTATTGGCAGCAGTATTTTCCTATATGTTTTTGTGAGGAGTCTTCCGTTCTCAAGTCTAATTTCCAAGTCCAGGAAGGAAATTATTACCTTTCATTCAAAAAAATACGTGAGTCCAATGTTAAAGGGATTTTTGATTTAACTTCCTCCATAAAAAGTTTTAATTCCTCTTATGATTTTCCTCTCAATACAAGGAACTTACATCATCTATATATCTTAACTAATAAAATCTGGAATATTAACAAGGAACCTTGTTGATCTGAAGACAACCTGTTCCTCCCAGAAACCTAGATGCAAACATGCATAGGCTTTGGAGCCCATGCTCCCATACTAGTACCTCTGATCTGTTTGTATAAAAGGTATTATTAAATTGGAAAAAGTTTTGTCGTAACACAAAGTCCAGCAAACTCACTAATAAATTCTTTCTTTTCCTCCCGAAGTGGGGTATGTTTTATCAAGGAAGTAAAA